TTTGAATTTGATAATGAATTGCTGTGGGGTAATTGGCAGAAAATACCCATTTTCTCTAAGGAATCGTTGAGCCCTCTCTCTCTCTCGGAAACAACGGCAGGAATGGTCTGCAAACATTTGGTTTTGTAACACACAATCTGGACGAGAGATGCGAATTTAGGGGAGACACAAGCTATCTTTACAGGGGTTCAGTGGGAGCAGAATCGAACAAGACTGCAGGGAAAATGCAGATTAGATCGATAGAGGGGATTAAGGATTTCGAAAAGGATCGAGGGGTACAGCAACAGCAATGGTTAGCGTGGTCGGAATTTGTTTGCGGGAAACATGTTGTAAAGCTTTGGGATTTGGGATAGTTTAGATTTAGGTTTGAATTTTGTTGAAGATAATGATAATCATAACACTAAAGCATAGTTTCTTTGTGAGATTTTGATCATGAAGAGAAAAACGGCAATGTTGTTGGCCGAAGTTGGAATGTCCCGGCGATGGCAGGTAATGAAGAGGGGGACAACGGATGTTGGTGGGTTATTTTTAATATTTTCATAAGTTTTGGACTCATTTTCATTTTAAAAAAAGTCTAGGTTTAAGATTGCAATTTATTCTTTATGGTTCTTTTCTTTTCCTTTTTGGTTTTACTTAAATTGGAGGGTATATCGGTCATTTTATGTCAAAAATTGGGGAAAATGACATTTTGGGCAAGAAAAGTGAAAGGTAAAGACGTTCAGAACCAAAAAATGAAAGGCAGGGACGTTTTCCACAAGAACGGGCAAAGATAGGGACGTTTTGCGCCAATTACCCATTATAGATTTATAACATATTTTAAACAGTTACATGATAACTATGTAGACAAATACGTTATCATATAATTGCTCCCTTAATGTTTCAAAGACACGAAATCTTGCTTTCAAATTGGGTTTATTAATGTTCGTCAAGATGAATTTTATTGTTAGTTTCAAATTCGATATAATTATTGCCACTGCAAAACACCTAATTACTACAAGTCGATCTACAATATGCCTACCTTTCATTAGACAAATATAACGTGTTTAGAATAAATTTATCGCAAAATCGTAATTTTTTTAAGTGTTTGTAGTCTGTAAATTCTACTAAATGTGTGAATAATAAGCAAGTAATAAAATTTTACAAAATATGTGAATTAAAAGTATTTTTAATCAGCTTAAACAAATTTAAGTTTTGCCAAACACGCACTAATTATTTCTTTTCT